TGGAAGCCACACGGTTTTCAGGTGGGATTTCTGTAAACTCAGATAGGATTGCTCGGAATTCATCGCCCGACATGGTCTCTTTTTCGAGGAGTACTTCAACGATCTTGTCCATGGCTTCCCGATTGTTCCTTATGTGTCCCAAAGCTATCTCGTACGCCCTGTCTGATAGTGTCTTTATCGCTGAATCGATATCGTTCGCGAGCTTCTCAGACATTGAGTTTCTTGCCATCATTCTCATGATGACATCACTTTGAGCTGATGAATCCATTAGCGACCATGGTCCGATTTCAGACATCCCAAATGTTGTCACCATCTGCAAGTAAATAACCAAATACAATCAATTTCATTCACTAGTTTAGGCCAACAGAACAAAAACTGAAGCTGGGAATATAGTTCATACCTGCTTAGCCAGACCGGTGATCTGTTGCAAGTCACCAACTGCGCCAGTGGTCACCTCGGGCTCGCCAAAGATGACTTCTTCAGCGGCTCTACCACCGAGTCCACCAACAATTCTTGCAAAGAGTTGCTGTTTGGAGATTAGAGTTGGGTCATCTGATGGAATGAACCAAGTCAGACCTCTAGCTTGGCCTCGTGGTATCAAAGTGACCTTTTGGACAGCGTCATGTCCTGGAGTCAATGTTCTGCAAGAACGAAGAATGAACATCAAAATATGCTCTTAATAAAACAGACATGCTCCTAATATGATTCTCACTTACCCACAGACGGCATGGCCAACTTCATGGTAAGCAACCAAGCTTTTGCTTTTCCCATCTGTCATGACAGTTCCTTCCATGCCAGCGACAATTCTATCAATTGAGTCATCAATCTCTTTTGATGATATTGCCGTCTTTCCACGGCGGCCGGCCAATATGGCAGCCTCATTCAAGAGGTTTGCAAGATCAGCTCCGCTAAATCCAGGTGTTCTCATGGCTATTACTTCAAGTGAAACACCATTGTCAAATTTCTTATTCCCAGAGTGAACCTTGAGTATATCTGTTCTTCCCTTAACGTCTGGAACATCAACAGATACCTGCATTAAGAATAACACGCGTTAACCAACCAGAAGTAGAGGACCAATGGAAAGTCACAGAGCATTATGATCATATATATTACCTGCCGGTCAAAACGTCCTGGTCTCAGCAAAGCGGAGTCAAGAATGTCTGCTCTGTTGGTTGCAGCAACTACGATAACACCAGTGTTACCCTCAAAACCATCCATCTCAGTCAAGAGCTGATTAAGGGTCTGTTCTCTTTCATCATTACCTCCACCAATTCCGGTTCCTCTTTGTCTACCAACAGCATCTATTTCATCAACAAAAACAATGCACGGAGCATTTTCCTTGGCTTTTTTGAAAAGATCACGCACCCTTGAGGCACCAACACCGACAAACATCTCAACAAACTCGGAACCCGAGATGGAAAAGAAGGGTACACCGGCTTCACCAGCAATTGCTTTTGCCAACAGGGTTTTACCAGTACCAGGAGGACCAACAAGGAGAACACCTTTTGGAATCCGGGCACCAACCGCAGTGAACCTCTCAGGCTTCTTCAGAAACTCCACCACTTCCATGAAATCTTGTTTGGCTTCATCAACTCCAGCAACATCATCAAAAGTTACACCGGTGTTTGGCTCCATCTGGAACTTTGCTTTTGACTGACCAAGTTGAAGTGGGAAGCCAGGACCACCAGGGCCACCCATTCCACCAGAGGACCTTCTCGAGAGAAGAAACAAACCGCCAAGCAGAATTACCGGGAATGCAAGATTCCCAATCAAGTTGAGTATTGGAGAACCTTGGTCTTCCTGAGCATTATGTGCTGCAAAATCAATATTCTTTTCCCTCAACTTCTGTAGAAGCTCCTGACTCAAACCCGGTAGCTGCACGCGTACACGCTGAATCCGGTTACCCAACTCAGGAGAAACAGCTTCCACAATAGCTATTGTACCATTCTCATACAGATCTACTTTATCAACCCTTCCTTTGTCCAAATACTCTAAGAACCTAGAATATGACATCCTAGACGAAGCTTGTTCATCTGCATTTGCTTTTCCACTTGCGAGCAAACCAACTCCAGCTGCAGCGTTTCCTAGTAAGAGTCTAAAGAAGCCTCTTCTTCCTTCACGTTTCTTCACATCCAAAGAAGCTTTCACAACTGTAACTTTAGATGTTCTATCAAGTGAAGCAAACGTTGAGGAGAGTCCAAGCTGTTTGGATCTCTGTTTGGTTGTGTGGACAGATAATCCACTCCCAATAAGACAAGCCGATGAAGAAGCCATCTGTTCTATATATACATAAACATTTTTAACAAGAACAGTGAACAATTTAGATGATTACAAAGCCAAGGGGTGAAACAAAAACAAAACGAGATCTTAACGAAGAACAGACTGAAATTGAACATGCAAGTTTATACTAACAGTTTAATCAACATGAGCGACCATTAGCGACGCATATTAACAAGGATTGAAACCTTTTTTGTGCTCCAAAGAGAAAAACTTTCAAAATAGACACTGAATAACACATAAATCCACCATTTCTTCGACATTCACATGAAATTCTTCAAGTCAATTTAAGAAGAAAAGCAAATCGACGAGATCAGAATTGATGAACAAAACCCAGGAAGTAGAATCATGCACAAGAAGACGACCCAGATTTCTTTTATAATCAAAAAGCCTTCACAGATTCAAACAAAAGAAACACCGCTTGAGATTGCAAAGATGAGCGAAGAGTGAATCGCACCTGTGGGAATTTTGGCAGACGAGGAAGACGAGAGTGAAAGGAAGATTGTTTGGAGAAGAGAAGGAAGAGTGGGATTTTTGAAGAGAAGAGATGTGGTTTCTGAGCATCTTACGTGTCTTCCTCTCAGTGGCCTCGCGGTTTTTACCTTTAAACTCCGATATATTTTCTATTTTCTCATTTTTGACACATTTGATTTGAATGTTCATCATTTTTCTTAACTTTTTTTTTCACATGACAAACATCCATGAACTCTACTTATGTTCATTGTTCAAGCCTTTGTAATTATAAAGGTTAAGGAAAAGAATGCAAACTTGTTTTATTTCAATTTAACGATTAGAGATTTATAACATGTAATTTTCTTTCTGAAAGTCAAGTATATACTGACAAATTAAGAGTTTTAGTAGCACAAGGAAAGCCACATGCAACATTTAGCAACCAAGCAAAATCCAAAGAAAGAAGACGTATTGAGTTTGGATAGTTTCTTACTTTCTGTCGACATAACCAACAATGCAACCACTCTGACGGATCATAACTTGTCACAATGCAACCAATATAACCTTAAGTGCTCACTTGCTTCTTATGCGAAAACATTGCTTTTGAGCAAGGCTATCGATCCGAAAACCGGGTCGCGGTTTAACCAGACTAACGCCACAGGAACAGAGCTTATCTTGTGTTATCTTTCCTCGATCAAGATTGCTTGATTCTTGGTGATCTCATCTCTTAGTTGTCTCTTACACTTCACTGGATGTGAGATGGAAGATTGCATATCTTACGAAAAGGACTGAGGACTCGCAGTTTCATTCTTGTTCAGACATATCTGTGTTCCTTGAGTCTGATAAAGCAGCATGGCGTCCCAAGAGAACAAGATCAAGAAGCTTCCTCCTAGCGTCGTAAACTGGATTTGGATCTATCAAGCGTCCTCTCTCATAAGCCTCTCTAAGAAACACTGTGTGTCTTTTCCCTTTCGTTGACATATAAAACATCCCCGGGTGATCCAAGAACAAATCTCTTATATTCAAATCAATCCCAAAACATTTTCTGAAATGGCTGATCTTTTCTACCTCCACCATCTTCTCTACAGTCAGACTCAGGAACTCGTGAGCAATCGCAACCGCTCTTTTCTCTATTCCCATCGCACCGGACTTGTTCTTTCTATTACCAACCATGTCCTCGTAAGGCCCTATATAAGACAGCTTCTGCCATTCCTTAACTTTAGCCTTAAAGTTCTTGCTCAGTCTCATTCCTGGTGGGTAACTATGTTTGAAACTAAACTGAATTTCGGTTCTATCGACACTGCAATTCTCCTTAGAACACTCAACCACCCTCCATTTCTCAACCGCGGCTTCAAATTTCCGCCTTTTCTCTTCTTCTTGAACCAGCTCTAAGTTATGGGTATTGGGTTCATGACCATCACTAAGCGTAAAAACATGAGGGTTCTTTGAGATCACAGTGTCCTCAAAATCATCTGGGAGCCCAAGTTCTCTCCAAACCTTATAAACCGCACGAAGCGGAACTGACTTAGATATAGACATTGACAAGAGCCTAACCAACCGGTCAACAACAACAGACAAAGTAGCAGAGATAGCCAAAGCTTCTTGACGAGAAATCTCCATGGCTACATCAGTTAACCTGCAAAAAGGTTGAGACTTTACAGGATCATACAAGACATTGAAAATGTGAGGGTACTTTCGCAGGAAAGAAGCAGCTCCACGGTTAAGGTGGAGCTTCTGAGAGAGCCTGGAGAGAAACTCAATGGATACAGAAGGAGGATCAGCTGTTGGATTTGCCAAGATAAGGTCTTGTATGGCAATGACTTTAAGAAGGTTCTTGTATTTGTCCATGAGCTTCTCGAAAACAGGGTCTCTTGATCTTGAAGCCACATATTGAGCAGAAGTTGTTGTTGATCGGACAGTGATGATTGAGCTACGACACGGGTGAATCAGAAGTGATCTCATGAAGAGGAACCTCATACTAATCTCAAAAGAGTATAAGGAGCTATCTTGGGTTCCGACGTTTCACAACGTTGCTATAAAACCCTCTCTGCGGTATTATATCGAACACCTTACGGGCATAGCCAAAAAACCCGATGAAATTGGAAAGAAACAAGCCTGTCGTCTATGAATCGAGATGAAGATCGGACTCAACAAAAAAAACGAATCCAAAAGAGAAGTAAAATGCAATGTCGTCTTTGACATACTCTTGTCTGTCTTTTCTGGGTCAAAATGTTCAAAATGAAAATGAATGGATGATTTAATTAAATCCAATTCTTAAATGGTGTGCAAAATCGAATTTTGTAAAACTTGGTAAAATTGAGTGGAAAACATCGGTTCAATAACCATTTTTAAACCAATTAATCCTTAAAACTATCATGAGACGCTCAAGTAAAACTACGGTTACTGAACGACCAACTGGTTTATTTCAAAACCTGAGAAACCAATGATCACATTTACAAATCAATTTCTGTATTGATAACTTTACCATTATCTATCAACAGTTGGCATTTTATGAAATAATGGTAAGAAAAGAGTAAAATACCATAGGTTTCCTTTTATCATAAATCAAATTGCCATATATAAACCGGTAAATAAAAGAAAGTAAAAGCAAGGATTTCCAAAATCTCATTTAACGAGAAAAAGATAATTTCTAAAATTCTAAAATCTAATTTAACCCAAAAAACAAACTTTCCAAAATCCGAGCGAATTAAAACAGAACAGATACGATTAGGACCCACTACTAAGCGTAAATTAATTGGGGAGCAAGCTATCATTAACAAATATGTTAAATATTTTTGGGCCAATTCTCTCTATTAAAAACCTTAATCGATTATAAAAAAAGAAAAAAATACGAGAAAAAAGGAAACTCAGGTACACCGAAATTATATAAAAAAGGATAAGTAGAGAAAAAAAATCCTTTTATAAAACTCTGCTTTTAATATTTAAAGAGCCCTAATGCTTAAAATCAAAACAGACTTATCGTATTCATGCCTCTTCTTCCTCTAAAAAAAACCCTAATTTTCTTCTTCCGCAGCAGAACCCATGAACGAGAATCAAGGATCAGAACCAATTCCGATGAAAGTAGTATGGGGAAGAAACGTCGACGAAGCGATGATTCAATTGAAGGAATGCCTTAAGAAATACCCATTGATCGCATTCGACACAGAGTTTCCTGGGGTTATTCACCACACTCACATCGATTCATCGGACGACGAGTGGTACAGAGCCCTGAAAGCTAACGTCGAATCAACGAAGGTTATACAGTGTGGCTTCACTCTGTTCAACGCCGTGGGACAGATCGGAGGTACTTGGGAGATCAACTTCTCCAATTTCGGAGATCCATGGGATACACGCAACGAGACGTCGATCGAGTTTCTGAGAAGACATGGTTTGGATTTGAACAAGATTAGAAACGAAGGAATCGATATGTTCGGGTATGGGTTTTTCCCTAAGCTTTTGAATGCGTTTCGATCTCAGAAACATGTCGAATTCGTTACTTTTCAAGGAGCTTATGACTTTGCATACTTCCTGAGCATACTCAACAACGGGAAGCTACCGGAGACTCGAGGAGAATTCGCATTGGAGGTTGTTAAAGTTTTCGGTGAAGTTTATGATTTGAAGGTCATGGCTGGATTCTGTGAAGGGCTAGGTGAACATCTCGGGTTAAGTAAACTAGCTCAGCTTCTCAATATCGCGCGCGTCGGAAGAGCGCATCACGCTGGTTCAGACAGTTTAATGACTGCTCTTGTCTTCATCAAGCTCAAACAAGTCTATGAAGATTCTAAGTTTGCTAAAGGAATGCTCTATGGAATCGGGAAAAGAAACCTCGTTACCGCGAATGAGCTGCTGCTTTCCTCGGGTGGTTCTATTCCATTGATGTGTCAGCAGAATCTCGTTTCGTATCCTTCTTCAAATCTGATGTACCAGAATGGATATGTACCAAGCTATGATCAGCTTCCGGTTTACTACTTGGGTCCTTCAGGTCTTCCATGGATGCACTATAATGGTATGTATGTGAATCAGCTTAATCATCTACCTTTAAGCACATTCGCATACTCGTCTGAGACACCATATGCAGCTGCTGCTGCTGGAGCTGGTTACCTTGGACCAACTCCGAACTATTACAATAATAATAATGCTTGCTTCGTAGTTGAGTAGCTTGAGATTTCCAGCTTTAGGAATAGATGCATTGAGAGATTTTTCATTTGCTTTTTCTTTTGTTTTCTGGCCTTTGGTAGTAATGAAGTCTATTCTTTTAATATTTATGGATTGTTTTACATGGCTTACTCTATCAACGGAGTATGTCTGCAATCTGTGATATATAAAAGACCAAACTATTTTACATATCTTTCATCGATATTTGTTTATTTTTTGTTCCACACAAACAGCATATAGTATACACATTGTTTACCGTAGGTATGGTTCCAGAACGTTGAACTCTCAGAGCTTTGGAATCACTATTCTCAGTAGCCCATCCCTGCTCCATGTGAATTAATAAACTGAATGTTAGTGCTCTCTATCAAACTTGCCAAATCCTGGATAACTTGATCAAAGCTAGTGACTGGTACTTAAAAGTTAAAATTGGAATCTAAAACCATTACTTTTTAGTTTTGCACTAGCTAAAACCACACTAATCATAATGTTGAGTTGTAGAGACAAGTATAGTTTCTACTTACATAAATTCAGCAGAAACATTATCCTTGTTCACATTGCTGGGGAGTGACCAGGAAACCTTGAATGGTCCTTGTTGTATTTCTTGCTTGTGATATCCAAAGATTGAATCTTTGGTGCCTGCATCAACTCTGTGACAGATAGCTGTGCGTCTACCAGTCACAGTCAGGCTGGAGCAGCATGGTAAGTACCTTTGTTAGATAAGTGTAAGAGTAATGAGAACAGATTGAAAATATGTGTGAAGATGCGTATTAGTTACTTTATGTTGTCGACCTCCACTCTTATATCATTGATACTGGCCCCTGGTAGCTCTACTGCCACAATATAGTTGTGTTCAAATTCTGCAACATTCAATCTCGGAGACCAAACACTCCCTGCAAAGAAAAAACAAGCTTCTATAAGTTCTCATGTTTATTAGTGAATATGTGTTGGAGGTAGCCCTCCTATACTTTTGGTTGTAGATCTAGGTCGATGACTAAACATTAAGCATCAGATTATATGATCAGAAAAGTAGTGTATCCTGTATTTTGTATTCGTACCTGAATTGGCCAACTTAGGAAGGTCAGGCTGATATGGCTGTTTCCAGTTTTCCTTTGGCTGATTTGGTGATACAGAAGGGAAAAAGAAGTCCTGTTTTGCGGCTTTAGAAAACTGTGGCGGGGCGTACTCAGGTCTGGAAAGTAATGGTTCTTGTGAAGAAGAAAGGAAGCCATTCGTTTTGGTAGATGCAGTCTCCTGTGGTATGGTCCTCTGCAAAAACAATTTGAAACAATTTTGTTATATATAAGGATAGGATCATCTGCAATTGTAATCACCAGACAAGAACTGATGGTACCTCGCCAGCCTGCCTCATGAAAAAACCCTGTGCAGAAGATGCTTGCCGAGCAAAATACAACCTGTTGTGGTCACCTCTTCTAATGACAGAGTTCTTCAAACTGATGCCGCCGTTCTGAGCACTGTTTGGTACTTCGTCGGTCGAAGCCTGCTGCCTCATAAAAAAACCCTGTTCCGAAGATGCTTGGCGGGCGAAAGAGATTTTGTTGTCACATCTTCTGATGACAGAGTTTAAACTGCTGCTGCAGTTCTGAGGCACCACAAAAAGATTGAGATTAATTAATCGAAAACAGAGGAAAACGCGAAAGCAAACTGTTTGAGATTTAGATCAAACTAAAGAAAACATATCATCTAGTCCCATATAAGCACAACATAACTTTGAAGAATTTTCACTAAACTACTATCAGTCTCGAGTATATCTCCAGTGTCATATAATTCCATCGCGAAACAAACAGATCTCGAGATAGCACTCACAGAACTCAATTGGACAAAACAAGATCAGAGAACAAGCAAGAACTCCACAAAGCT